AGTTGGACCAGGAGGCAATTTAAAAGCAGATTTTTTAGAGCCAGTTGAAAAATAGAGTACAGCTAATAATACTGCTGCACACAGCAGACAAATTAATGCAGGATCAGAGATGAATGAAATTAAAAAAGCCATTTTTAGTAATAATCTGGTTAGAGAGGTTGAAGCAATAGAAGTGCAGTGGCACTGTTCCGTTTCTGCCAGCTTTCTGTTTGTTCTCTGCGATTGCTACAAGCACTCGATTCTTACTAAGGTTTGTAGAGTACCTAAATAAATACTGCATACTCCACCCTCTTTAAACACCTCAGAGAATGTGGTCTAAGCAGTTTGCAAAGCCTGTCCAGAAGAAAAGAGAGTTTCAAATTACAAACCCATGCATGTGTGTGCAAGAACATATACATGGGAAAAGGTGCCTGGCATTCCTCTATAGCCTCCTCCTCCCAGAGACCTCCAAGTCCTTTATCAGCAATACCATGACCTTCCAAACACTCAACTGACACGGGGAACTAAATAGGTTTCTTGAATCCTATTAGAAACCTCCAGAATCAGATTTGGACAGGATCTGAGATCCCCTTCATGTTACTGGTCAGAAAAATTGTATTTTGGGGACAAATTCAGCTTGCTTGATATCAGGTAGAAATCGAAAGCATAATAATGGTAAAGCCTGTGTATCTCTGGGTGTTATAGGTCATAAACTTCCTCATAAAATAGGCTCTGATCTGCCCAGAAGGGATGTGATTGCAGACTTTGTGTCTGAAGTAGAGGACATGTAACAGCTAGCCATGGAAAAATAGCTTCGATTGAGTGATCATGAGTGGATTCAGTTGCAATTAAATGGCAAGACAAAATTGGACTTGGAATTTCAGTGAAGATTCCTCATTTTGAAAGAGTAGCTTTTAAGAGACACAGGGAAGAAACTATGAAGTTAGCTGGACTGGTGGGCTTCGGACCTTGAGCAAAACTTGAGCATGGAATTACTATTACGAAAAAGATACATAACACCTAGTGCTCACATCCTTCATACAGGTTCAAATCTCATAGAGACAGAATTGAGATCTGCGTGGCTGAATCTTGGTTTTCAGAGGGATAAAGGGAATAAACAGCTGGCAAAGTGAATACAGAAGTTTAGGAAAAAAAGATGTCTTACATGCTCAGGAAGCACAAGGCTAAGGGTAGATTTACCCAGAGTTGGCAGTTTAGATCATATAAAAGCTGTTACTTAGCAGATAAATGTCCTCAGCTTTGCAAATGCAGAGGGGAGGGATGGAGTGGGCCTCGTGTAAAGGCTGCCATGGCTGTGATTAAAACTAGTCCCACATGGTCCCCAAGCAAATGGCTGCAGGTCGGGGCTGTCTGAGAGGCGGGGAGATGTTACAGGGTAAGTGTCGCTCAGAAGCGAAACAGACAAGTGCATTGTGGCTTTTTTTTTTATTAGTTTCCAAGAAATGGGCTGGAGACAATAGTTTCCCCAAGAAATGACTCACTCCTTGCTGAAGGGAGTGAGGAGGCAGCACGAAGGGTCAGGGCTGACACAGGGTGCAAACCCAGGGCGCTGCGATGGCAACTGTGACTGCAGCACCCTGCGCTGCAAGAGTTACGTGCGGCTGCCTCTATCTTGGTATTTCAGCCTTGCCTTGGGAGCTGCTGAAATCATAAAAAAGCCTTTCAGAAACAGACTTAAATTATGTCTGAAAAGCCGGGGGCGGCGGAGGGGAGGTTGCTGCGTTTTTCTAAGCCAGGCTCCAAGTGCAATGCATTAAAATGACAAAGGTAAGCCAAGCTCTTGCGATGACAAGAAATTCCTGTCTCAGTAACGCTCCTGCTGCGTGTCTCGTTGGGGAGCTGCGTTGCTACGTGCTCCCCTGCCCGCACACATGGAGCCGAGCACGAAACAACTGCCCGACGCTGACACCGCTCCGGGTGCATTCCTGGGGCAGCCGGGCCCCTCGGGGTGCTCCCAGATGGGTTCTCTTCAGTCCCGTATGTCCCCGTGGTGATCTCCAGCCTCGGGGAGCGGCACGGAGGGCAGTGGTGAGACCGAGCACTGCGAGCACCGCTCAGCATCACCGGCACCGACCCCCGGGAGATACCTCCACCCCTGCGGCCCTTAAATTAACCTAAATCCCCTGCGATGCCTGTGCCTCCTTTGCCAGCCTACTTCTTGGCTGGCACTGCAGCCTGGCAAGACAGCAGCCTCAGATGCTCTTGGCTTTATCGTAGCAAGTTCCTTTTAAGCAAGTGCAGGAGCCACAGGAACGTGGGAATCACCGTAACGGGCCACATCAGAGAGCCGGCTACAGCAATATCCTGTCAGACACAAGCCAGACCCAAGTACTACAGAAACTCCCTAGAGGTACTGTTAAGATAAGAAAATATTTCATCGTAACCTTATTTGCGGCCTATCTTTTGCTTTTAAGTGGATGGAGTGGCATCCTTTGTCCCAGTGTTAAGTCTGTAACAGTAAACTGCAGCCTAACTGTGCACAAGAAAGTCTGTTTTCTTCTACTGGTTTTTTATTTGCTGCCTTTCACTTTAATTTTCCATTTTGCCTCTCTAATGAGAAAGGGTTGAGGAAGCAGGGGACGCATCCTGCCTGCAGTGGGACACTCTGTGGCCTCTCCTTCCCATGTCCCTTCTCCATCTGTGCATCCTACCTGTGGGCTGTGCGCCTGCTTTTGATAGGAGATACATTTGGAGGGGAAAATCATTAAACTATTCCACATTTCTGTCACATTGCCTTTTCAGCTGTGATTTTGTGGCGCTGATTTCAATGATTTTCTCTGTGCTGTTCCCAGCTACGAGTATTCCTCACCTTTTGCACTGTTAAACATGCCCCTGCTGCATGTTCCCTGCAGATCCCTGGCCATACCACACCAGCATGGGTTTATTAAAGGTGGCGCGGCCCAACTTTATCAGCCTGACCCTAAACCCACCTTTTCCAGCAACCCCAGATAGATCTACAGCAAGAGAGGGAAATATTTACATACTCAGTAGGAGCTAAGGTCAGGCTTGTGGTAGCTAGCCCGCGAGCGGAGCAGCAGCAAACACGTGCACAAGCTCCACAGCGAAGGCTTTCTTGTTCCTTAATTTGTTAGGCAGTTCTCCCGAGGCGGATCCAGCAGCTGGGGCAGGCTCCAAGGTACAGTGCAAGTAAAAGTGCAATTCCAGTAAAAGTACAATGCAGCTTTCTGCAGAGACCCCATATCGCACATTAATGGTATAGGTGAGAGGCTTGGTGACAAAGTGCAAGGTCCAACCTACTCCTTGCAGGCTCTATTACCAGTTTTACAATATCTGTTTTCACAGTCACGAGATACAAAAGCCTATTAAACTTTGGCAGTGATGCAGGGTCTCGGGTAGGCAATGTATTATCAGCTCTGCATTTGTAACATTATGTAGGTTCTTCTGTAAGCAGCCAAAGCACTTTTGACATGGATGAAAATTTGCCTTGCAATTCATACTCTGACCCTGGTCTTGCTGTGCACTGAGCACATATCACTTTTGTGGGCACCCATGACAGTGTCATTTGCTCATCGCTGCTTGGGGCTTCAGGCTGAGTCTGTTAGTCTGCCTGGAGACCTTGCTGTTTATTCCTGACACCAGGAATGTCTGGAGAGGGAGGCAGGTTAAAATGCCAGGGGCTGTGCATCTCCCATAATGCTATGGACAGAGGATAACATTTCTAAAGTGTTGAAGTCCTATTTTCAGTCAAGATGAAAATAAAGTATTGCCCTATTCATCCCACCAAACCTGACATATCAGATGATTGAGAAATTTTAATTAGAAGCCTGGGGGTAGTGTCTCACTCTGCAGTCAATGAAAAGAGGGAGCAATTCAGAATTCAGACCTTATGGCAGTTGAATCACCCACAGCCTCTTTCTGTCTGTGGATGATAGAGGAGATCCTGAGATTAACTAGGCTCTGAGCTGCAGCTAAAGAAGTTGAGAGGAGCTGGGAGACTGGGAGTTGTGCATCCTGGCTCCAAACTGCATGTTCCTGGAACTGCTTCTGGAATGGGCCCAGTCTTTAGTGAGCTGACTCAGAAGCTATTCACTTTCTGGGGATGGTTATTTTCAGCTAGCTTATGGATCTGAATTGGCCTAGCCAAGGATTTAACAAGAGTTGAAGTGAGGAGAGTCAGGGAAGAGCAGAAAATGCCCTTCTGAGAAGAAGCAGAAAACTGCTGGTTTGGCCCTGTCATAAATAGGCTCTTTAGCACAAAGTTCCTGGTGGGAGTCGGAATGAACCTACTTCCCAAACCACATAGATGTTTTCTGATATCTGCCCCTACGTCTGTCTCCTGGCATAGACCCATGTTACACCCCAGTGTCTGGGGCTCTGTGAGGAAGATAAGGCAGGTTGCATTGTGCAATGGAAACTCAGAATGAGGCTTAGCCGAACAACTGTCCCTGGGAGGTTTCTAGACCCATTAAGTATTTACACTCTGTGTCTGCTGGCTCCAGCTGGGCCATCAGTCGGGTCTGCTACACTGCTTGGACTTTGGGCTGGGAAATACCCAGTGGAGGCTCTTAGGGCAGAGGCTAGAGCCTCTGATGGGTTATATCCATAGGGGAGGCCAGAAACCATTTCCTTCCTTCAGCAGCCCTGAAAGCTGCTTTTCTGACGTGCTGTTCCAGGAATGGATTGCACTGTGTCTCAGTGCTGCACTTAGGGTGTCTGAAGGATTTGTGTTATACTAGCATCAGGAGCGCTCTTAAAAAGGATGATATGAAAGAGAGAAAAACAGCAGTGCTCATTGTCTTCCTTCTCCTAAAGCTCAGGAATAGACAGCTTTTGTAATCCCTGTAAGCGGACTTAATTTCAAGCCTAAAGTGCTCACTACGTTTACGGCACGTGGCTGGATCATTCGCAGGGCACCGCACAGACCAGGTGAGGCATGGGGTTCAAGGTAAAGCCAACATCAGCAGTGAGATCTAGATCTGACTTGTCCACTCCTGGAGGGGTCTGGAAAACAAATTTGCGGAGCAAGCCTGTGAAGAAGAGGAACAGCTCCATTTTGGCCAGGCCTTCTCCAATGCAAGCCCTTCGTCCTAAAAATAACCAGAAGAGAAGTAAACGATCAGCACCGTAATATGGTTGGAGTTGGAGGTCTTCTAAACTGCACATACAGCCTGTAACAACTGGCTGTTGAGACAGGAAAAGTTTCCTTCCCTCTGTTTACAAGAGGTGCTGAAAGGGTCTCAGACCATGCAGAGGCCTGTAGATATGTGAGATCATTCAGTGCCTGTGAGTAAGTCAGTGCCTCCCACATTCCAGCCCAGCTCTCCCAGGTAAGAGATGGAAATTTACAGCACAGTGAACTGGATGAATGACCAGAATTCCTTTATCCTATGTTCTGTGTTTCTGACTTTCATAATTTCCAACATCCAAAACTACTTCTGGATTCACTGGGTGCTGTGAAATTAGTCTAAGCAATTAGCCTAAGTGCAGGTGGTGCACAAAATACTCCTCTCACCTATGGAAAATGGAATAAATGCCTCTCTTCTAATGAAGTTCCCAGCAGCATCCAGGAAGTGAGAAGGGTTGAACTGATCAGGGGTTTTCCAGTGCAGCTCATCATTCAGAACGGAAGTCAGCAATGGAATAACCTCTGTCCCCTGAAAGGAATCAAAGAAACTCGTGGTAGTTGGTAGGAACAGATCACTTCCACAGTCCAGTTAGGCTATTTTGGCTGAGTTTTTTTGCTTGTTTTGTTTTCTTTCCAGTGTGAAGAGGTCAGTAAGACTGAGCCATGGCAAACAGAACTAGCAGATGCTTCCCTGCCATGCCTCACCTCTTAGCAGTAGTTGCTGCTCTCTTTTGGGGCATTCCCTTCTTACATATTCAGAAATACCTTTCAAGCAAGAAGCTCAATTAGAGGTTTCACATTTGGCAAAAGAGATTCAAACCAGTGTGATTTAATTAAAGTCTGTGGTTAATCTGGGTTCAAAAAGCTGTAACTAAGAGCTCAATCCAGCCCTTAGTTGTAACACCCGTCCTGGATCCAAGACCAAAAATCACATAATAGATTAAACCAAATATTGGGGCATCTTTAGGTTTTCTGACTTTTTTTGCCTGCTTTAAAAGAAACTAAGGATTCTGTGAAATGTAAGCTGACAACCTCAAAACTCACCTTAGGAATCACATAACCTTGGAAATCCACATCGGTAGGAGTTGATCGTGATACACTCATTGGGAGTATATTGGCAAATCTTTGTATTTCATGTATCACTGCATCTGTATACGGCATTTTTTTCCGGTCCTCCAACTTGGGCAGCTGTCCTGGTTCAATGACATGATTCATTTCTTCCTGAATTTTTCCTTGTGAGGAAGAAAGGATGAAGAAAAATCCCCTCTTATCTTGCAACAAAAATGACTTAGGCAAGGTCAATAAATGGGAAAATAGTGAGAGGTATTTGGCAAGAGCAGAAATAGAGGCAGGTAAGTCAATGTGTGATATGGTTCTTTCCACATCTTTCCCCTTTCCGTAGAGGCAAGGGAGCGTGAATGGCATTGCTACAGGACACGCCATGCCCGATTCTGATCTCATGCCACGGCCTTCGAAAGCAACCAGATCAAAATCAGTCCTTGAGAAGACGGGAGAGCGAAGAGGGCTCGTTGCAGTGGGGTAGGCTGACAGCCTGCAGGAGAACAGCGATGGGGGAGCTTTACTGCAGCTGCCCAAGGCTGGCCTGTAGCCTCTCCCACTTGGCTGTGCTGTTTCTTTGCAAACAGCTAAATAAAATATCTCTGTAAGTCCGTGGTTGTTACCTTCTCACAGTCCTTAAAGTAATTACTCTAGACAACACTGAATGAGTCCCTTCCCTCCCTTCTCTAATCAAAGCCTTGAGTATGCAACAGAGTATTGTACAAGAAGACTTCTTAGCCTTACTCTGAATTTCTGGGTATTTCATCATAAGAAGAAGACCCCAGCGCATAGTTGTAGAAGTAGTCTCAGTCCCAGCAGCAAAGAGGTCCAAGGTTGAAAACAGCAGATTGCCATTGTGGAAGTAAGTGTTGGATTTCTTTGTCTCCTTCAAAATGTAAAAATAATGTTCTTTATGTCATTAGCTTTATAGCAAATGATACAAATAAATGAATGTGTTGCCATTGTGTGCTTTTTATCTGCATTTTAGCTTTTTGTGACTTCATAAGCTAAAGGGATCTCAACATTTTAGGATCTGAACCTATAGTGCATAGAATATATACAATTTGTCCAATCTTCAGTGTGCATACAGTGCCTAAATCCAAGTATTATGTAAGTAGGAATTCAGTTACTGCAATGAAGTTGATCACTGTACAATTCTTGCAGGAAGGTTTGGGATGACACCCCCTTTATGTGCTGAGCAGATGTCACCCACAGGGGATGTCCTGACAACTAGATCCCTTTAATCAGCAGTTTCAGGGGAACTATGGAGCAAGGACGGCACTGCTCACTGTGAGCATTAGCTTTAATATATTCTAAAAACTGTAGTTTTTGTGTTTTCATTCACTTCCAGTCCCTGACAGATGATCACTCTTCACAATATGTCAGAGCTAAGAGAACAGAAAGACTCTGAGATTTAGCTTTAAAGTACCTGTTGTTGCTTCATAAGAAAGGCATCAACAAAGCCTGTTAAGTTATTTTCATCAAGCTCATCTTTGTGCTCCTGAAAGAGCTTCTGGAGAAAAGCAGACAGCTCATCGACATTTTGTTGCACAGTCTTGGGAGCGCCAAAGAGAAATCCAAGAGATGGGTAGAAATTATAAAGCTGTGGAGCAATAACATGCTGTTAATCTTGGAATCAGACACAGAATCCCAGACATAACAGACAGCTGGTCTGTACTGGGTAATGTTCTCCTCAACCTCACCTTGATAAGCAAATGTGGGAGATCAGGAAAACAAACATAGGCAACTAGATATCCCAGAAAAAGCTAAAACCTAAAACCTTACCAGTACCATAGGGGAACCCAACAGCTTGGTATTTTCATTTAACAGCTTCAGTAAAGTTAGAAATGCAGGATCGTCATATTCAAACCTCTCTCCAAACAGTATGGAGCAGATGACATTGGATACAGCACTGTTGAGTATCATCTTTGTATCAAAAGGCTTCCCTGTTAATCCAAGCAGGGAAAACAAACGGTGATGTGATTCTGCCCTGCAACAAGGAAGTGTCCTGCTGGGGTGAGTATGGCTAGATTTGGTTTTCTCTGGGGTCACTGACTGACTTTGGACATGGTGGAGTAACACTGTGGAAAAGGCCACATTCAATAAATGAGAAAAGATATATTGACTACATTACATTTCCTTTGGAAAATGCCTCATTCACTACACAGACTGCACCACAGGGAACTCAGTTTCACTGTTTTAAGGCCTCAGTTCAATAACCCACTTAAATATGTACTAAACTTTAAGCATGAGATACCATTTGCTTGAAGTTACCCACTCATTTATCTTTGTGGTTCAGCTAGAAATGTGATCTGTCTCTGGATGAAATTCTTGACACTCACCCTGATAAGATGCAAAATACTTAATGAGGGAAGTTACTTCCTCAAGAATTCGATTCTCAATTGTTCTTTTTCCCATTCCAAAATCTCGCAGTGTGGTCAAGGTGAATCTTCTCATAGTTTTCCATATCTCTCCATGGCTGAATCCTAGGCCTAAAATAAAGGTACAAGATCCTTGTGTTACTTGCAATTAATAATTTTAAGGCTTAGTTAAACACTGATACAAAAGCTACTCAGTGCACTGTTAAAAAGACAAAAAGAAAACCGAAAGAGGACAATATTTTCTGCCAAAGGAATGAAATCAGTACAGACAAACTGAAAAAGAAAAGTAACTAACAAAAAGCTTACCATTTCCTTGTGCTATTTTCATAAATATAGGTATTTCTGCTCTTTCTCCAAATTCTTCAGAATGATTTAAAAGGGCATCCTTGACAGTTTCATATCCCGCCAGTACCACAGCTTTCCTGGGTCCAAAATGCACAGTGAAGATGTTGCCATATATCTTGGAGAGCTTCAAAGGTAAATAAATATGTTCATTCAAAAGCTGATCGGGAGCCATAGGGTAACATTAGCTACCCTAGTTGGTTTCTAGCATGAAAGGACCTTCCCAGCCCTGCCTGAAATTTCCAGGAGCTGCTGTAGTGCAAATAATAAAGTTCAGCTATCGCCAGCCATCATCTCTGCTTGCACCCTGTTTGCACAACAAGGTGTCTGCTATCATTGCTCCTATGAGATGAGCAGCTGATAAAATGTCACTGCATTCCTACAGTTCTTTGCAGTAACAGGCCAAAACAGCGAAACTACCATTTGGGAGCTCATTAGAAAAATGCCGTAGCAGGCAGGCCCAGTGTGAGGGCCTGTTTATTTTAATACCATTGACCTGAGGCAAGGGGGTGTGCACACACCTTCGGGGCTGAAGCCACAAACACTGCAAGAACAAAGCTACAATAACTCTTTCTTTCAGGACAGCACTTGTCTCAAGTTATTGCAAGGTGGGTAGTGCTGCAGTCATAGCAAAGTTATTTGCTGGCCACCAGAAATTTGAATCCAATCAGGAAGCATATTCTTGTAGATAATGTCACAGGAGCTCAAGGCTTTTACAGCAAATTAAGTATGAATCATCTGTTACAGAGAAGGGTGGCTTTGACAATCTAATCATTCACTCAGTAGTTTAGACTTCATTTAAACATACTGTGAGCCATCCGCTCCAAATGTCTTGTTTCCGATGTGCCTGGGTTACCATTTGCTATGCATTAGATACATACAGAAAATTGAATTTCAGATTAGAAGCAGCTCCTGTTATTACAGCAGACAAATTGAATTTGTTTTCATCAAATGGTGGTTTGACAGCTTGGGAGATAACATTAACACTGGTTTCTTCCTCTCTGGCAGATCACAGGGTGCCAGGCAGATCCAGGGATAGTTACACACATCTGAGTCTCACTCTTTGTTTGGTCATTTCTTTGCATTAGTACACCTTGGCATCAGCCCTGGCTTTTCTCAGCAATATGAATTTTGGATGTGGCAGGCCTGAAAGCCCCAAGAAAGTTGCTTGGCAGCTTATAGGAAATAAATCTGGTGCCTGCAAATGACATACGTATCATAAAATCCCCCAAAATAGTTGCCCTTCCTTCAACCCTCCTCAAACACACATCTGATCAAGTGGGAGCTCAGGACTGCAGGACCATTAAAGTTGTGCTCTGCCCAAGCCCAGCGGCTCCCAAAGTCCAGACAGATGGACGTTGTGTGGCTGCTATAGGAAATCTGAACTCTTGCGGCCCAGGATGTGCCTCTTCTACGACTAACGGGAGAATTGCAGTGTCTGCACTGCCATCCTGCTGGGGGTCACTGGGGACCCTGCTGCTGTCGTGCCTGGCAAGCACGGGCTTGGGGAACGTGGCCGACCAGCCACAGTCCCTCAGAGGTCTCTACAGCCACCTGAAGAAACCCGAATTCATGTTGAATTGTCCTCACCTCCCTATGGGAACATCGCAGCTGCCTTCTGAAACAAACATCACAGCTGCCTTTAAAATATTTAAGTCTTTTTTTTTTCCCCCCTTGAGAAATAAAGGTATCCATGGAGCTGCATAAGAAAAAGGAATTTGTTTACCTAGAGGCACAAAAGCCACCCTAGTACCCATGCACCAAGTCTTAAATAACCCTAGCCAGCACGTGTGCAAGGGGAGGGAGAGGAGGCAGAGTTGAGCTTTGCATCACGAGGACGTAACTAGCTTTGGAAATAAACGTACACATGAGGCAGTTTCCTCTGCTGGGGGAACGATAACTTTCTTCCCTGCCCTCCTTCCCTGCTCCTGTGCGAGGTGGTTGTCAGGACAGGGTTGTTGATAGCGAATGGTCCCCACCCTTCAGCAGACTGGTCCAGCTCGGGCCTTCTAGCTGCAGAGTCTGGGGCCGTAACTAGGGCTCGAGGTACCCCCGGTGTGGACCTGGCTGCAAGGCGGCCTCTGCTTGCATGCGTAGAAAGCAAGCAGTACCTATAGACATATATATGTAGGAAGGGTGTCTGCCAGTTTGCCTTTAACGCAAATAGCTCGTTTCTGCCTTGCACCCCATGCAAACACTATCCCATCTCCCTCACCCCGCTGCATTTCTCTCATCAGGCACTGCACACAGCCGGTTTTCCTGCCTGCTCACTCAAGACCCTACCTCTGTCAGCGACTGGAATGGCTTTTTCAAGTCCACCACGTTCAAGTTCCCGATCAGAGGAAGAGGTCGTGGCCCAGGAGGCAAATTGCAAACTGATTTCTTCCTGCTGGTAAGAAAGTAGACGAGAGCTACCAGCCCTGCTGCCAAATAGAGCAGCGAGCTAAAGCCCATATATTGCAGCAGGCTCCTTATGGCCATGGCTGCATCAAAATGGAGGCACGAACACCTTGGAGCCTCCTTTATAGCCCTTCTTTCCATGCTTGAACCCACCTTCTGGGGAAGCAGCTTTGCAAAGAGAAAAGGTCCCAGGTCTTGTTTACTCACATTTACACCTTTTTTCTTTGTTTTTTTCAGAAACCAGAAATCCAGAAGACAGATTATCTTAATCTGGAGCTCTTGTTTCATCCACAACACTGGGACAAGGTGTTTGCTTTCTGGTGAAAACCTTTGCTGTGGATGTGTTGTGGTCTCAGCGATCTCAAGTGCAGAATTAAGGACCAGAGCCTGTGTTAGGTTTCCCCCCATAGCTGCCCATAGCATAAGGCCATAGGACACTGGGAATGCAATGAAAAAAGCTGGAAGCAGGAGGGAAAGCCCTCAGTATTGCTTAGCCTGGGGTGGGGGGCAGGTTGGGCCCAGGGCAGACAAGACTGACCAGGGAGGACCTGGAGCAAAGGCACAAATTTGTGCTGACTGGGGCTTGCAGACGGGAGTTTGTCCATTTACAGGCAGCAGCAAACCTTATCACTGCTTTTCTGCCACCCCCATAAAATCCTCTCCTGGGTGTGAGCTCCACTGATAGAAAAATGATTATTTATTAATAATAATAAAAGTGCATTAGCTGAAGGCAGGGAGGAGCAATAAACTCTGACAAGATTGCCATTAAAAAAAAAAAAGTGTTTGCCTCTTCTTCAAGGTTTGTTATTGGGATAGAAGGGATTTTATTATAAGGATGAATTGGCCTGGGCAGAAGAGGACTAGGCAGAGTGGGCAAAGAAAGGAGGTCTATGCATGGGCACGTCCTCCTCAAGATCTGCTGGAAACTGCAAGTTTTGGGCTGAATCCTCCTCTCCCAGGCATTTCCAAGAACATCCTGTTCTGCCAGACTCCTCACTGAGCTAAAGATGTGATCGTTGTGCTTCCTGAGAGCTTATAAGCAGCAGTAGGAAGAGGGAGGAAAAAAACCCTCCATGAGCATCGTGGGTACCCATGGAGGGAGTTCACTGGCTGCACAGGGCTACCTCTGTGCTGCTGCCCCAGAAAGCAGGAGCCTTCTCCCTTCTTGAGGATTTCCAGCCTGTTTAAAGGCCAAGTTGTACCTGGGGATAAGACTGAGTGAAGTTTGTTCTCAGGCAATGAGCCCGTGGACGTGCCGGCCTGCTAGGCTGATGCATTCATTGTGGGAAATGATGGATGAGAGCTCCAGTGAGGAATCGCTGCAGGTTTAAAATACCACGAATGCTATTTCATCACCTCGATTTCTTCCTCGCAAGCCTTGGCTTCCCGTGTGCGATCCCGAACGCAGCATTGGAGGTGCTGCCCGTCCACGGTGCTGCCTCGCAGGTGAGGCCCCCACGCAGGACTGGGCAGTGAACTTTGCTCCCTGCTCACACTATCTTCCTCTTTCTGCTACCACGAGCCAGAATCAAAATCATCTTCAGGCAGCCAGACTTCACTTTGTGGACATAACTCGGGGAAATAATCAGTTTCTGCTAGAAAATGAGCCTGTGCATTGAAGAGACAGAGTTATTTACCTTCTGTGTGCTCATCTGGAGAAGGACACATAATCTTCTAATGGGAGGCAGGTTAATAATGCTACGGTTACAGCGGGTAATGCAGACAGAGAGAGCTATTATAAGGCCATAATTCAGTCAATGAGTTCTGATAACATAATAAACCACACGAGTGAACACCAAGTGCCTGTATACCTGAATTACAACCTCCGGAGATGCCTATCAGCCCGAGCATTGTTATCAGGGATATATACAGCATGAGAACACCCTATTAAACATTAACATTTTTGAAAGACTCTCATGTGTTAAAACTCAGGCTGCTCTTTGCCAATGGATTTTCCTCACCTTGACAAATGCTGGTACAAAAGGAAATCAATAGCTCTCAGACTTTGACCTCTCCACATCTTTCATGATTATTGCAGTGTTTTATGGGATTCCACCTACTTCTTCCGCAGTCCTGCAGCTCAGTGTTTTCATAGGATCTACCACAGGATAGTGATCGATATCTTGGGTGTTGTCTGTGTTAATTTTGATACAAATAACTTGTACAAATACAGGGTTTCTTATTCATTTATCTGTTAAATCAGTCTGTGGTGTACAACTGCTGTGGAATGAAAAGGGTTTTTTTTGCAAATACTTTTCAAAATCATTTTAATGCAAATTAATGCGAATATATGGGTTTTCAGAAGAAGCCAGGGCAGCACAACCTGGGAGATTAGTATTGAGGAACTCAGCTTATCAAGAGTTTATTTTCAATATGGGGCTGAACAGATCAACAGCCTCAACACAGCTCTGAAGATCTTTCTCCTCTGGGTCTCTAGCTTCAGTTCACCTCGCCATGGTATAGCAGAAATGATACTGAGCCAAGAGAAACTCAGAGCATTATGGACAGAGCTTGGCTGGTAGGTACCAGAGTTCCAGTATCTTCCTTTCGAGCCCCTGCCTTGGTGGTGCAGGTAAGAGGTGGATTTAGTTACACCAGAGCTGCAGCTAGCAAGGCAATAAAAGAGACGGCTTTGACTTGCAGCACAGTGTGACTATTTTTACTGTGCTCCTCTTTATCCTGATGAGGCTTTGGTTGGATCATATCAGAAATTAACTACCATTCTGTACAGCTTTGTAGCGCACATAGCATATTAAGGCCCTGACCTCACTGGCATGAAACTATGGTTTCCCTCTAAGTGCAAAACACTAAAATTTAATTAATCATCCATAGCAGAAATCCCCATTCCCCAGACTCTTCTGGCAATATTCTGCATTTTTGCTTGTCTAGGAACCTGAATTAAAGGGGAGAAAAATGGTTTACAAGAGCCCCGGGCAGTGATGGAGCAAGACACCTTATGTAAGAGCTGGCTGGGTGCTCACAGCGCAAGGGTGAGGCTGAGTGAGTGATCCCGGAGGGATGTTTCTCTGAGGTGTGTTCTGCACCTTACCTGGGAACAGCAGTCTCAAGGGCACAAATTCCAGCGTTTGAATGTGCTTGGTCTTGTTCAGCTGATTCATTTCTTACAGCTATCCCGAGCCAGGCTGCAAAATCCCCAAGAACTGTACTCAGTCAAAGCCTTTCACAGCTTGTCGATAAATTATTTTCAAATTACCTACTTAATAATTTGCATCTGGAGGCTCTTAAAGACGTGGTGTAGTGAGAGAGAGAAATAATGAGAGCCCCGGACTCTACCTGGCTCACTGCAAGGGAAATGGATTCTGGTTCCTGGTGTGATGTCGTACTTCATTTTGGCACTTTTAAAAGCAATGCTAAGCAGGTTAAAAACCCATCTGACAGCACATTTGTATCTTGTACAATTCAGATTTTTGTTATGCAGTGAGAGTCTCACGTCTTTAGAAGAAAATAAGTGAAAAGCATTAATTTCTTTGTGAGTGACACCGTTCTTTGTGGCACTGTTTTTGCTGAATTCTTTTGGAACTAGTTGGCTTAATCTGCAAATGAGATTCTTCTTAGCACTGATTATCTAATAGAGATTTCATTTGATCTCCTTGGGAAAAATACATACTAAACTGCTAAAGCACATGTACTAGCTTTTACGACAAACTCTGCCTTTACAGGAAACCCTAGAAGATACAACTGATACTTGCAGTAAGAACGTTAAATAAACATAACGAAATACCTGCTACTCTACCTGAGGTGAATTCGGGCAACCACAAAACTTAAGATTCCAGTGAAAGATGCTGAGCTAATCAGTAGATAATCAAAACATTTGGATGTAATAAAAGACAGCAAGTCGATACAGTCCTTGCATAGGACCGAGTTGGCCTCTTTGGGAATAATCCCGTCCTGGGATCCCTGAATATCTCCCTGCAGCACGCAGGGAGCTAGCAGGTCAACCCTGGCACCAGAAACTGAGGCATAATTCAGGAAAAGCGCTAAAATCGGTTGTTTTGATACTTCGGCTAAAGCTTTTCAGACAAACCAAGCAGCTTTTGCGCTATCGACTCCTTGGAGACCTGGCAGACGGTCTGTTTCCTACACTTACGAAAGAGGATGGTCTCCCTTTTACTGCCCAGTGTTATAATTAAGTCAAGTGGAAAAGCGCTATTTACCATCTACTAAAAACACCTATTGTTCAGAGCTCCGAAAACAAATTAATAATAATAATAAAATCTCGTATTTCAGGCTGTGTAAACCTTATGTAATAGGAAATGGGGTAATTTTCCATTTACAATTTTAAATACAGTAGTAAGAAAGCAATTGAAGCACACACACAAAATAAAGCGCTTTAAGTAGGGCTTCAGGTAATATTTGTATAACGGCTGGCCTCAACAACTGCAGATTTTTATTTTTATTCTTCCCTAGCCTGGCATTCTTTATACTTATTTCATTAAAATTAAATCAACTTAAAAGAGATGAAAAACCTCCTTAAGCCAATTGCAGCTTGAGGCAAAGGAGAAAGACAGTAGCAGTGTGACACATAGTGAAAACTGGAGTGGGTTAAATGAACCCCCTTGTACCCCGTCACACCGTCAGTGATACTAGGTCCAAAATATATATATATATATATATTTGTAGGGCTCCTGTCCTGAGCAGTCGGGAGTGCGAAACGACTTCTTAAAGCCTTTGGGAAACAAGGAGCTCTGGTCCCACCAAGGTCTTCTAATGGAGGTGGCAGTTTCGGAAGAAACAGGAGAATTTGGATGACGTTGGTTGCTATATAAATTGATTTGCTGACACTGGTCTCTGATTTTTGCAGGTTTTCCCTTCACCAAGACACCCAAGCAAATATATTGCAGCAGTCAACTACGTGAGCAAAGGCCAATTTCCGTTTTCTTTCCCTTCTCAAAGCAGATTATCCTTGAAAATTGCCCGCATCCTCTGGACCTGTTGTAGGAGACTCCAGAGGCCAGCCAGGGAAATACCCGGTTCTGTGAGCAGAGGATGTTTTATTTCAGTG